GCACGTACGTGTGTACGTATGCGCGGACACAAATGTATGCGTGGATGTACTTGTGTATGTGCCACGTACGTGTACGTCTATAAATATGCATACGTACACGTACGCGCATTTATGTGCATATCAGAACGCAGGTTTGCGTGCGTATTTACCTCTGTGTGTAGTTTATAGAGACGCACGCGTTTCGAGCCAGCCTCAAACGAGAACCTGGTGCGGTGTGTCAACATCGGTCAGCAGCTTGCAGGCTTAACAGCAACTTGCCCCTACAGCCTGTCGAAGGCTACACGGGGGAACTTTGCCTCTGTGTCCCTATGAGTGAGTGTGTGTGGGGTGACGTGCAACTCGGAACTGTGGAATGTAGCGAGGTGGCTGGTGGGATTCTGGGGTGGTGGGTGGGTGGGTGGGGGGAGGCGGAGGGGACGCGGGATGAAGTGTAGCCCGCGCCCGTTATCCCTCATTCCCGGAGCGCCCGCACGCACACACGGGCACACACGGGCACACACACACACAGGCACACAACAACAACAACAACCGCCATTCGCCACTAAGTGGCGGTGACGTCACCACGACGCTTGTGCCAGGCCATGTGCACCTTGAGGCCACGTGAAGTGTCGAACGCCCGCTGGCAGGAGGTCACGGGGCAGACCCAGCAGGTGCCACGGATCGACTGACTGAGATGACCGGCTGATGCACCACCTGTGCCCCATACTGTGCCAATTTGCTGTGCTTTAGCCACCCGGCGCTCCGCTCGTTGTTGTGAGCGTCGCTCCTCCGCCCTCCGTTGTTGTTGGAGGGCGACTGCCTCCAACTGCCCAGTAGCGTCCTTCACGAGCCTCCTCCACTGAGGCCGATTTTGACACCGCTGGTACCGGTCATCGGCAAGTCCACTCAGCTCCACGTCCTCCTGTACCACATCACTCCATCTCTTCTCTAGCCCGTGCCGCGCCCGTTTAGCCCCTTCGATCCGGCCGAACAAAAGCTGTTTAGGCATGCGGTGGCTGGGCATGCGGGCTACATGACCCAGCCAACGCAGCCTTGCCTGCCGGAGGAGCTCACCAAAGGGACTTTGCCCAGATCTTTCAAGGATTTGTGAGCTCCTCACACAATCCAGCCTGGTTAAACCCAGGGTGGATCGTGCACAATACCCATGGCAAACATCACCCTTCACCACCCACCATCTCCTGCATATTCTCCCCGTGGATTTTTCTCCGGGTCCTCCGGTTTTCCCCCTCCACATTTAGAATCAACATCACGCGTTCAGAGTGTTTGGCTGCTTTAAGTGTCCACGTCATCAGCCATTTCAATGTGGCTATCATTTGTGAAAGCCAGGTCGCTTCTGCAAGAGCGCTACGTCGCTCAGTGGGCCATGCTTTGTGAACTAAAACAGATGTTTGAGTTTATAGACATTGCAGCAGTCAGAGACGCACACGTTTATATTGCAGAGTGGATCGTACCAGTTTCTTTTGTTCAGGGGGCTGGGAATGCGTTTGCTTTATAAAAGTGCTCTCACTTTCAATCTGCCCTTGAAACCAATCGTTAATCGAGTCCAGTCCTGCCGTCGTGTGTTTACTTAGCCACACTGGCGAAAGGTCACTCCTGACATTTCCATAACGAATGCAAGAGGCTTCATCGCATGCGAGAGAACGCCGACTCGTGCCACTTGGCACTCGACGTTCTCTTCCTCAAACGAGTCTTTGCATTTGGACGCGTAAAATAGCCGATTTAATTTCCTGCAGCAACTAAAAAGTCAGATCGTATTCGTGGAATTACCGCCCCTCCCCCCTCCGTGAGTAGCGCCTCGTGGATTTAATAATTTAATTAGGGAAGTTGCGGAGGCGGCTTTACGAGTGGCTCAAGCAACAGGGTTCACTCACCACTTTCTACACGTGACCCATCTCCACGCGCGTGTGTCCAGTTGAACGCATTGGCTTTCTCCGCGTGCAAAAGTACTCAAGAAGGAATTTGACAAGCAACCGGGCATTACAGGTCACGTGACACTACAGGTGTGCTCACACCTGAGTGCATGTGTGTGCGTGTGCGTGTGTGCATGTGTGTGCGTGTGTGCGGGTGCGTGTGTGCGGGTGCGTGTGTGTGAGTGTGCGTGTGTGTGTGGGCTTGTGTGTGCATGTGTGTGCGTGTGTGCGGGTGCGTGAGTGTGCGTGTGTGTGCGTGTGTGCGGGTGCGTGTGTGTGAGTGTGCGTGAGTGTGCATGTGTGTGCATGTGTGTGCGTGTGCGTCAGTGTGCGTGCGTGCGTGTATGTGCGTGTGTGTGTACGTGTGTGCGTGTGCGTGAGTGTGTGTGTGGGCGTGTGTGAGTGTGTGTGCGTGAGTGTGCGTGTGTGTACGTGTGTGCGTGAGTGGGCGTGTGTGTGCGTGAGTGGGCGTGTGTGTGCGTGTGTATGCGCGTGTGTGTGTGAGTGTGCGTGCGTGAGTGTGCGTGCGACAGTGTAGTGGTTAGCGCTACGCTGCGCTATGAACCCGGTGACACGGGTTCGATTCCCGCTCACGGCCAATACCAGTGACGACGATTATCTGAACCGGTCCCGGGCTTCCCCTAGGTCGACTCAGCCTCAAATGAGTACCTGGTGCGGTGTGTAAACGTCGCCACTGGAGACAAAGGCGGTCGGGTGTGGTGCTGGCCACTCACCCCCTCGTGTGCCGTTCCGGCCTTCATAGGTGCTCGCTAACAGCACTTGCCCCTACAGTCTGTTAAGGCTACACGGGGGATCTTTTGTGCGCGCAGCATTACAACAACAACATCAACAACATCAACAACAACAACATCAACAACACATAAGAGATGCGGCACAACAACAACAACAATGACCCCCCCTCCTCCCCCCGTATGGATGTAACAGGCTGTAGGGGCAAGTGCTGTTAGCGAGCACCTATGAAGGCCGGAACGGCACACGAGGGGGTGAGTGGCCAGCACCACGCCCGGCCGCCTTAATCTCCCCAGCGGCGATGTTTACTGCTACACACCGCTGCACCAGGGACTCATTCGAGACAACAACACACGCTGAAGGGGGGGAGGGGGGGGGAGTTTTGAGAAATCTGTTTGATGAACGAAATGGGTTTGATAAGATGTTGAACTTATTGTTGCTTAAGCTTCTTTAAAAAATAACAATCCAACGAACAAGATGAAGAAATAATGCTGTGCATGTAAGTTGGATGATTCCTATAGACAGTTGAACATTCGTGGTTTTCAGCATTAGCACGTGAACATGTGAACCCCGAGATCACGGGTTCATTGACGCGTCGCTCTTGACACTGAACACGTTTCTCCTCCTGCGGAGGGAGCTGGTAGGAACGTCGGGTTGCTCGGTCAATGGCCTGCAGGGTCAACGGCCAGGGCGTGGTGTATTCCGCAAATATGCCCGACTGTGAGGGCGGGCACAAGCCGGCGTGAGTAGGTTAAACGTTGAGTTTTATAAGGGCACCACGGGGTGACCAGCCCCTCCCCACCCAGCCCCACCCCCCACCCAGCCCCACCCTCCCCACCCAGCCCCTCCCCTCCCAGCCCCACCCCCCACCCAGCCCCACCCTCCCCACCCAGCCCCTCCCCTCCCAGCCCCACCCCCCACCCAGCCCCACCCCCCCCCCCCAGCCCCTCCCCTCCCAGCCCTACCCTCCCCACCCAGCCCCTCCCTGCACGACGGACGGACGGACACAATAATCCCCTGTGGGCTGGTGTAACCAGAGGTTCCTACCAGTAACAATCTTGCCAATTGCTTGTTTTTATTTTGTATGTCTCGGCTCTGTCGTGAATAGGTGCATCCTCACGACGATGTTTGTTAACTGAATGTCATTGACAACATGATTAGGTGAAATGTATCCAACCGGCGAGGGTGAATGGTGTCGTGTGCGAAGCTCCGCAGTGGCGTGGAGTGGCTCTGGGGGAGAGGCGTGAGAAGTCGCTCACATTTCATGAATGACTTGATCAAGGCCCCAGCAACACACGTGCACGCGGCGTGTGAGTGAGCGCGTTTCACAGGGCGATTTGGGCAATTAGAACACACGACGGAATTGATTACACCTGCTTGCTTCATCAACAAAAGCCCATCAGGAAACAATTATTCTGAATGTGTTTGTGTGCATTGATTAGAGGCCGTCGATAAATGACGTCACGCACCTGGCGTGACGCTATTTATGGACGTGGGGAGCGGTAGTGCAGCGGTTAGCGCGCTGCGCAAACTCGTGACGATTATCTGAACCGGTCCTGGGCTTCCCCTAGGTCGACTCAGCCTTAAGTGAGTACCTGGTGCGGTGTGTAAACATCACCACTGGGGAGACAAAGGCGGCCCGGCGTGGTGCTGGCCACCCACCCCCTCGTGTACCGTTCCGGCCTTCATAGGTGCTCGCTAACAGCACTTGCCCCTACAGTCTGTTAAGGCTATACGGGGGATCTTTGTAGGTGTGTGTGTGTGTGTAGGTGAGTGTGTGTGTAGGCCAGTGTCTGTCTGTGTGTGTCTGTGTGTGTGTGTGTGTAGGTGAGTGAGTGTCTGTCTGTGTGTGTGTGTGTGTAGGTGAGTGTCTGTCTGTGTGTGTGTGTGTGTGTAGGTGAGTGAGTGTCTGTCTGTGTGTGTGAGTGTCTGTACCGGGGGAATTTCCATCTGGTACAGATGTAGTGTTGTAAAGGACGGACTTCTAAACTTCTTTATGGCACACACTGTTTATTATCTTCACACACAGTCTCCTGACCCTGCACAGCTCACACTCACTCTTCGCTCCTATTCTACGAAGGTACAGCCTTCGGACTTGCTGTCTATCTAATCTCCCCGCTAGCCTAGCGTCCTCCGGCTGGGACCTAGGGGAGGCACACTGACCCGCCGCTGACCCGGCGGGTCCCCGACCTCTGGTCGCTCAGGACCTTCGCCCTCACAAGGGCGGGAAGGCTGGGAGACAGGGTCCTATCCAGGACCTATCTCCCCCGACCACTGGTGACACTGAGCCCCAGCCCTGACAAGGGCTGGAAGGCTTGGTCCAGGGTCCTAGCTGTCTTCAGCCGACTTGGGTCTTCGTGTGGCAGAACTCACCAAGAGCTCTCAGCGCTCTGGCTTTTATACCTGTTCGTGGCCGCGTTGTCCAATCCCCGGCCACCTTGTGGAACCCTCCGATTGGTCCTTCCCAATCTGGCGTTTGGATCCTACCTCACCCCATTTGACCCTGACCGTTTGATTGAGCGGGAAAACATTGTTTACGATCCGCTCTCTCAGTTTGAGAACAGCGAGTAGTTAACACCACTACACAGATATAATGGGAGGCTGATCGACGCCCGGGTGCGATCAAGGGATGGCTCCCTATTGGTCAACCACGTTATGTATGCCGATGATTTGGTAATAGCTGCTCATTCAGAAGAGGAGTTGGAGACGCTGCTGCTGAGACTGGAGCGTGCCACTATGAGGTGGGGCCTTACCATCAGCCCCACCAAAACTAAGCACTTGCCTGGGTATTTTGTAACATCGGACACTCCACCCCCACAACTCCCAATCGGTGATGGGGAAGTTGTGGAGAGAGTGGAGAGTTTCCCATACCTGGGCAGTGTGCTTATGACCGGCTCCAGTTTATCAGCAGAGGTCTCACTCCGAATCAGTCGAGCGGCAATATCTTTTCATCGGTTGCGTAACGCTGTGTGGAAGCTACCTGGTCTGTCGCTCCGCACGAAGCTTCAGGTCTTCTCGGCCACGGTCATTCCCTCCCTTTTCTACGCTTCGCCGGTTGGAAACATTTAGGCTGGCCTGCCTACGATCCATCCTGGGTTTAACCAGGCTGGATTGTGTGAGGAGCTCACAAATCCTTGAAAGATCTGGGCAAAGTCCCATCGGTGAGCTCCTCCGGCAGGCAAGGCTGCGTTGGCTGGGTCATGTAGCCCGCATGCCCAGCCACCGCATGCCTAAACAGCTTTTGTTCGGCCTGATCGAGGGGGCTAAACGGGCGCGGCACGGGCTAGAGAAGAGATGGAGTGATGTGGTACAGGAGGACGTGGAGCTGAGTGGACTTGCCGATGACTGGTACCAGCGGTGTCAAGATCGGCCTCTGTGGAGGAGGCTCGTGAAGGATGCTACTGGGCAGTTGGAGGCAGTCTCCCTCCAACAACAACGGAGGGCGGAGGAGCGACGCTCACAACAACGAGCGGAGTGCCGGGTGGCTAAAGCACAGCAAGTTGGTACAGTAGGGGGCACAGGTGGTGCATCAGCCAGTCATCTCGGTCAGTCGACCCGTGGCACCTGGGTCTGCCCCGTGACCTCCTGCCAGCGGGCGTTCGACACTTCACGTGGCCTCAAGGTGCACATGGCCTGGCACAAGCGTCGTGGTGACGTCACCGCCACTTAGTGGCGAATGGCGGTTGTTGTGTCACTGTGTGTGTGTCACTGTGTGTGTGTCACTGTGTGTGTGTGTGTAGGTGCTGCTGCTGCTGCGTGTGACGAGGTGGTGTGGCTCGACTCGTCACAGCGGCAGTGGAGGAGCCGCGCGCCGCGATGTCGCGCGCCAGCGCCTCGGCCACGCGGCAGACGGCGCCACGTAGCGCTGCGTTCGCCGCTGGGCACCATCGCACCGCCCCCCATCCCCCCTCCTCCTCCTCATCGCTGCTTCTCTCGCGGCGGCCTTCTACTCGCGAGTGGGGTAAGAGAGATCGCCGTCGTTGAGAAGCCAGGCTCGTCGCGCGGTGTCGTGACGGGGGAGGGGGGGGGCTGCGGTGGCGATGTCGGGTCAATGAATGGCGACGCGTCGCTGTGAAGATCGTCGAGGGAGAAGTCTGCACGCCGCTGCTGCTGCCGCTGCTGCTGCTGCTGCTGCGTTCGCTCGCGCTGGTCACGGCGCCGCCGAGCGGCTGTCCGTCCACGCGCCCGTCTGTGCGTCCGTCTGCCTTCCCCATCGCCGCAGGGCGCTGTCCGCGGTCGTGGCACCGGGTGCGAACATCATCTGCGGCAAGATTCCGGGACTGTCGCCACGGCAGCGGGCGCTGTGCCGGAGCCGTCCAGACGCGATGGTCGTGGTCGGTGAGGGCGCGCGGCTGGGAATCGGCGAGTGCCGGCACCAGTTCCGATTCAGCCGCTGGAATTGCTTGGCGCTGGGTGAGGAGACGGTGTTCGGCCAGGAGCTCAAAGGCGGTGAGCGCCAGTGTAAAAATTTTTTCCAAAATTTTACACTTAAGGGAAAACAAATTAAATATTTAATTACCAAGTATTTAATACTGCAGACAATCATCTGACCCATAGGTGGCAGCCATCTCAAGCCAGAGGACGAGAGGACTCTAGCCGCCACGCATATAAAGGATTTATAGTGAAAAACTTTGTTTTTACGGGTTAAACTTATTGCTGGCTCCCTACACCCCTTTAATCCGCTGATTTCCCCTGACCGCCTGGGCAAAGGCCTCCATTCACAACATGAATAACACCGGTGACATTGGGAGACACCCCTGTCGCACACCTGACCCAGTTGGTATCTCCTCAGAGAGGACTCCATGTATCAGCAGGCTGCCCGCGAGCTTATGATGCAGCAGTTGCCTTACAACCCCCCTGGTGCGTGCGCTCCCCCACACGAGCAGGTAGCCGAGAAGCGGCCTTCCAGCACGCGGTGATCTCGGCCGCCGTGGCGTACGCCATCACGGCGGCGTGCGGCCGGGGCGACCGGAGCGAGTGCGGCTGCGACGGCGCCAAGCGGGGCGGCTTCTACGACGCGCAGGGGGGCTGGCGCTGGGGCGGCTGCTCGGCCGACCTCAGCCACGGCCTCGAGTTCTCGCGCCTCTTCGTGGACGCGCGCGAGGTCAAGCGGAACACGCGCACGCTCGTGAACCTGCACAACAACGTCGCCGGGCGCAAGGTGCGTGGGCGCGCGGGTGCCCTACCTTGCTGCTCGTCTTCCCACGACGCCTTTCAATCGGCTGTCTCCGCAGATCACGACGACACGCGCCGTCCGTTTACAGACCTCGCTTCTCCATTTGAATCGGAAAGGTTGATGTCATTCATCGGCGCGCGACGACTTCATCTACTCGTGAACGCGATCCGTAGGGGGCGTGCGGCGGTGGTATAACGGGTCGGCGGATCGGAAGTCTTCGCTTGGGTGCTCCGGGCGCGGCACGACGTTCTAATTGCGGCGGCGAAATGAGCAACGCCGCAGTTAGGTGACCTGGTGCGCCACGTGCGGCGGGGTGAAGGGGGGGGGGTTATCCAAGACGTGTGGTCAGTGTGGGAGAGTAGAGCAACGTGGCCTCGAGTGGGGAGGAGGGCTTTCTGACAGCAGTGGTGCCACAAAGCAGGTTGCAGCACTGCACCTTTACCTGTCCCTTGCACCTGACATTGGCGGCTCCGTTTCCACTGAGGACCTCCTCCTTCCAAGGTCCTCCAGGTCAGCGCAGCCTAAGAGCAACTCATAATCAACGTTTTTGGGTTTAGATCGCGTTATTTATAAATGTGTCGTAACCCTCCACCACCCGACACGGCCAATCAGTAAAAAAGTGTCACGTAGGACAAAAGACAAATAGTTCACTGCTTTAGCCCACCGGTGTGAAGTGTGAAACCACAACATTTACAATTTGAGTACGACGTTTCGCTGGTAATTGCATCCAGCATCATCGGGCAATTCGCCAGAATGGTGAGGCTTTGCTGTGTCTCCCGTTCTTATATAGAGCAGCAGCAGCAGCAGGGTGACGTCATCATTAACTCATCAACTCATCAGGTGCAAAGATTCAAGGGGGGAGAGCCTCACCATTCTGGCGAATTGCCCGATGATGCTGGATGCAATTACCAGCGAAACGTCGTACTCAAATTGTAAATGTTGTGGCTTCAACACACCGGTGGGCTAAAGCAGTGAACTATTTGTCTTTTGTCAACGTGACACTTTTTTTACGTGTCGGGTGGTGGAGGGTTACGACACATTTATAAATAACGCGATCTAAACCCAAAAACGTTGATTATGAATAACATTGGTCGCAAAAGCCTACGTGTTAAGAGCAACTCGCCCGGTGCTTTCACTTTCCCTGCACGGCCACGGGGTTGCAGGTGGCCACCCACCCAGCCAGCCAGCCACCTCCTGCTCGTGGCGACACGGCGACACTGGGCTGCTGCTGCTGCTACCCTTGCAGCTCGTCTGCCCCGGTGTTCCTTGAGTGCTCTCGACAGGGGTCTCCTCTCCCCCTGATCCCACCTGCAGGCCCATCATTGAATGAAGGCGCTCGCGTGCCATGCAAGGAATGTCGGTAAAGTCATTTAGGTGAAAAAAAAAACAAATTTGCTGTGGTTGTCCCACCTGATGACGGAAGCTTGTGTTACCTCCGAAACGTTGTGATTGAGTTTAGTTATTTTTTATAATTTTTATTTTCACCCACGTGACTTTACCGAAAGAACCACGGAGTATGGATCCTTGCAGTTACGAAAACTTTGAATCTAGAATGCAAGGAATTATCATTACGCCCGTGGGGCCCTGTTTCCTCTGCAGGCGATTTCCCCAAACCGAGCACTCCTCCAGATCCAATCCCAGGCAGGCGCTGAAATGTCTTGGGGGTGAAAACAAAACCATCTCTCGTCCCAACCCCGCGTACGGCAACCCCTCACGCACACTCCCTCGCTTGACCTCTCCACCCGCCACCCCACCCCTTCCCTCCCCACTCTCCCCCCCCCCCCCACTTGTCCCCACCTACCTCCCCGATGCTCTCCTGCCCTCTCGTCTCTCTCTCCCCCCCACACGCCGCCAGGTGCTGGAGGAGAAGATGAAGCCGGTGTGCAAGTGCCACGGAGTGTCGGGCTCGTGCACCACCAGGACGTGCTGGGCCACGCTGCCCCAGTTCCGCGAGGTGGGCTCCGCGCTCAAGCGCAAGTACGACGAGGCGGTCCACGTGGAGCCGGTGCACGCCGGCCGCTACCGCCGCCGCTACCCCGCCTTCCTCAAGACGAGGCGCTCGCGCGCCCACCGCAAGCCGCTCCGCACGGAGCTCGTGTTCACCAAGAGCTCGCCCAACTACTGCGAGGAGGACTGGCTGACGGGCAGTGTGGGCACGCGCGGCCGCCCGTGCGACCGCAAGTCGCCGCACGCCGACGGCTGCGAGCTGCTGTGCTGCGGCCGCGGCTACAACACGCGCCAGTACACGCGCTCGTGGCATTGCGAGTGCAAATTCCGCTGGTGCTGCTACGGGCGCTGCAGCGCGTGCAGCAACTGCCCAGTAGCGTCCTTCACGAGCCTCCTCCACTGAGGCCGATCTTGACACCGCTGGTACCAGTCATCGGCAAGTCCACTCAGCTCCACGTCCTCCTGTACCACATCACTCCATCTCTTCTCCAGCCCGTGCCGCGCCCGTCTAGCCCCCTCGATCCGGCCGAACAAAAGCTGTTTAGGCATGCGGTGGCTGGGCATGCGGGCTACATGACCCAGCCAACGCAGCCTTGCCTGCCGGAGGAGCTCACTGATGGGACTTTGCCCAGATCTTTCAAGGATTTGTGAGCTCCTCACACAATCCAGCCTGGTTAAACCCAAGATGGATCGTAGGCAGGCCAGCCTAAATGTTTCCAACCGGCGAAGATGCTCCACCAGGGGGGTCCACGTTTCGCAAGCGTAGAGAAGGGAGGGAATGACCGTGGCCGAGAAGACCTGAAGCTTCGTGCGGAGCGACAGACCAGGTAGCTTCCACACAGCGTTACGCAACCGATGAAAAGATATTGCCGCTCGACTGATTCGGAGTGAGACCTCTGCTGATAAACTGGAGCCGGTCATAAGCACACTGCCCAGGTATGGGAAGCTCTCCACTCTCTCCACAACTACACATGCACACACACATACACACACACACACACGGCACACACACACACACACTGGCCCCACACTCTCACACACAGCACACACACATACATGCACACGCGTGCACAGAATCGTGTAAATATACACAATTGCATTCAAACTTTGTTATATTATTTTAATGCAGCTTATGCCCTGCAACGATTATGTATTTACTGTATATAAATAATACAATATAGATAGAGCCGTAATTTGTACTATACTGTGGATACGTGTTCTGTACAGCATCCCTTTCTATGCATGAATTTCACGCTTAATTATTGTACACATTTTCTTACACACATATATGGGCCCAGTGTATATATGTCTGTGTGTGTCTAATACACGCACAGTCCGTTTTGGAAATTCGCTGCTGAATAGCTTACGGGGCCTTGAGGAATGTGTGTGTCCAGACTTCACCAGGCTGGTCAGTAGAGGTCACTTATTAAAGACACGCTCTATATACAACTGTGTAGATACATATAAGGTTAATTTCATTGAATAGTTTTGCTTTATTAAAGACAACATTCCGTACTGTATAGTAGCCTGACACGCATGACCGCTTATCTATGCATTAATAACATGCTTTTAAAAATATATATATGCTTATGAACTATGAAGTATTTTCTGAATGCATCTATACGGATACATTTACCCAAGAGTTGTACATGTACAATGTTTAAGTGTTTAGTGCAGCATGCATCTGTGATTCTAATATAGTATGTACATTCCACAGCATATAATTGTACATATAGGACAACGTTTAAATGATGTAAATATCGTAAATACTGAAGTATATTTCGTATGCCTGTGTAAAGTAGTAACTTGGCGGGAGACGACTCTGACGGGTAGCACACCTTTTATTAACACCAACTTATTTTACACGGGTGGCAACTGCCACATAACCCACGAGGTTCCCCTGAGCTATACCCACACGGGCTCTTACGCCCCGTAGCTTCTTGGAACACACCCGGCTGGGTTATTAGTCTCGACTCTGGGTCCCACAGCCTGGTTCCACACGGACACCAGGCCCCGGGTCCCACAGCCTCGCCTCTGAGCCGCACAGGGTCCCGGCCCTTACAAGGACAGCGGGGCTAGGGGTCTCAGGGCCCTATCTCTTCAACTCCGTCTTCGATCTTCAGCTGGTAATAACTCCCCGAGTGTTCTCGCGCGTCCCCCTTTATAGTCCTCCATGCGGACGTCGCTGAGAGCACCCACCCAAGTTGACCAATCACTCAGCGCGCTGCCCACGATCCTGTTTCCCATATCGTGTCTGCGTGCACAAGCACGCACCCAGCGCCGCCCCGTGATCCATCACTGTCGGTGTGCGTCAACACCCCCACACTCGATGTAGCCACGCCCGGCGCGCGCACACACACGCCCCCACCTTGTCGGCGCGCACCGCCACTACATATGTGCCGGAGCAAATGCAAACAAACGGAATTAAATGAACTAAAGTAATGCCTTCACTACAGTAAAGTAATGCCTTCACTATTTAAGGCCACCCCACAGAGACGATCACCCCTCTCTGTACCTGTGTTGCCCGCTTTGTGTATCTTGGTGACATCTGTCTGCTTATATGTCTGTCTATAATTTTTTGCTGGTTAGATTTTATGTCGCTATTTCATTATACCTGATGATGATTGCTTGTGCTGCAATCGAAACGTCGTATGCTATTAATTAATTTATTATTTTTTCTTTATACGTGACTTCACCGAAAGAACCAAAGAATAATTCCTGCAGTCACGAAAGCTCCAAATCTTCTTGTTTCTTTCGGTAAAGTCACGTAGAAGGGAAGTAATAAAATAATAAAAATAAAACATAATAAAACAATTCTCACGACGTTTCGGCTACAACGCAAGCAGCCGTCTTCAGGTGAAGAATGAGACACTACCAAACTAGGAGCTTATATATAAGCTGCATTAGGGGTTGAAGAGCGCCTTAACAAAAAGAATGTGCATGTGAAGAGGGATTTAGCATATTCATGGAAAATGCGTAGGCGTTGGGCGGGGGGGTGTCAAAGTCATATTATGCCCATGCATTATGCAGGATCAGCAGCAACCAAGGGGGGTGCAGGGATTAGCAGTAACAAAGGAAAGGAATGTTAATGATATGTAGCTGCAGTTACTCAACAACCACGTAGAAAACTAAAGTATAAACTACATAAAAAACTAAAGTATAAACTGCATCGCACCATCAGTATACTTACTATACTCTATAATAAGCTGAGTTACTAACAGCAAGTAATACATTACAATTTTACCTCGTAAAAATTCTATAATATGCTTCCATCTAAACCTTATTCTCTTACATCACACGAGCATATACCGTACTATATACTGCCATAGATAAACCCAACATTAAATTATATACTGTATTGCTGTAAACCAACCTATATCTTATACATTTAATATCACACTATGTATTATTCTACACACCCTAATGTGTATCGAAATGGTTTATTACGTCCTTCCAATGATTGCTGAGCCAGAATCCATCTTCTCGGTTAAAGTTGTCTCTGTGTTTGTATATGTGGATCGCCTCATGAACGAATCTCTCATGATAGCCAGATGGCTTGCAGAGAACCTCTGTCTTGGAGAAGTCAATATCATGTGAGCCCACTGAGTTGTAACAGTGATCTGCCACGGCTGAGGTGTTAGTCCTACCGTGTTTCAGGTCAGCTTTATGTTCACGGATGCGGTCCGAGACATGTCGTTTGGTTTCCCCAATGTAACTGCTACCACAGAGGCAACTTAGTTTGTAGACGCCAGGGTACTGTATGTCTGGAACCACATCTTTTACAGACGGTACCAGATCACGGATTTTATGTACTGTGTTGAATCGGACCTGGATCTTGTGTTTAATCAGGATTTTGGAGATCTTTTTTGTGACCCCAGCAATGTAGGGTAAGGTGATGGTCTTGAAAGGCTCCTCAACAGGATCCTTCTTGATGGTTGGAGTGATGGCTTTGCGGATTGTATAGTCGGAGTAACCATTTGCCTTAAGAGCTTGGCGTACGTGTTTGAGTTCACTGGAAATGTGTTCATGGTCGGAGATGCATTGGGCTCTATGATATAGAGTCTTGATGAGGGAATTCTTCTGAGATGGATGGTGGTGGGAATTCCCTCATCAAGACTCTATATCATAGAGCCCAATGCATCTCCGACCATGAACACATTTCCAGTGAACTCAAACACGTACGCCAAGCTCTTAAGGCAAATGGTTACTCCGACTATACAATCCGCAAAGCCATCACTCCAACCATCAAGAAGGATCCTGTTGAGGAGCCTTTCAAGACCATCACCTTACCCTACATTGCTGGGGTCACAAAAAAGATCTCCAAAATCCTGATTAAACACAAGATCCAGGTCCGATTCAACACAGTACATAAAATCCGTGATCTGGTACCGTCTGTAAAAGATGTGGTTCCAGACATACAGTACCCTGGCGTCTACAAACTAAGTTGCCTCTGTGGTAGCAGTTACATTGGGGAAACCAAACGACATGTCTCGGACCGCATCCGTGAACATAAAGCTGACCTGAAACACGGTAGGACTAACACCTCAGCCGTGGCAGATCACTGTTACAACTCAGTGGGCTCACATGATATTGACTTCTCCAAGACAGAGGTTCTCTGCAAGCCATCTGGCTATCATGAGAGATTCGTTCATGAGGCGATCCACATATACAAACACAGAGACAACTTTAACCGAGAAGATGGATTCTGGCTCAGCAATCATTGGAAGGACGTAATAAACCATTTCGATACACATTAGGGTGTGTAGAATAATACATAGTGTGATATTAAATGTATAAGATATAGGTTGGTTTACAGCAATACAGTATATAATTTAATGTTGGGTTTATCTATGGCAGTATATAGTACGGTATATGCTCGTGTGATGTAAGAGAATAAGGTTTAGATGGAAGCATATTATAGAATTTTTACGAGGTAAAATTGTAATGTATTACTTGCTGTTAGTAACTCAGCTTATTATAGAGTATAGTAAGTATACTGATGGTGCGATGCAGTTTATACTTTAGTTTTTTATGTAGTTTATACTTTAGTTTTCTACGTGGTTGTTGAGTAACTGCAGCTACATATCATTAACATTCCTTTCCTTTGTTACTGCTAATCCCTGCACCCCCCTTGGTTGCTGCTGATCCTGCATAATGCATGGGCATAATATGACTTTGACACCCCCCCGCCCAACGCCTACGCATTTTCCATGAATATGCTAAAGCCCTCTTCACATGCACATTCTTTTTGTTAAGGCGCTCTTCAACCCCTAATGCAGCTTATATATAAGCTCCTAGTTTGGTAGTGTCTCATTCTTCACCTGAAGACGGCTGCTTGCGTTGTAGCCGAAACGTCGTGAGAATTGTTTTATTATGTTTTATTTTTATTATTTTATTACTTCCCTTCTACGTGACTTTACCGAAAGAAACAAGAAGATGAATCCCTGCAGTCACGAAAGCTTTAAATCGAAAAATGAAAGCTCCAAAGTTAAGATTTCACTACACTCATTCATTAAACATGGGGCCACTATTTAAAATATTATTAATAATTCCAAGCGTTTGGAGTGGAAACAGAGAAGGAATTATAATTGAATGCGCTTTTTTTCAAAAGTATAACGTACTTCAATGTTGTGGGGCATCTAAGATTTGTATCGTCAGTTTAACCTGTGAAAATAATCACAAAACCCCGCTATCCCAGTCTACTACTGTGTGTATGTACATGCATCTGTACTTCTGTGTATGTCCACCCGTGTGTTTATTCACACTTGTTTATGTGGATATGTACATGCGTGAATGTGTGTGTATGTACAATCATTTGTTTGCACATTTGTTCGTGTAGTAGAACGCAATCCCTTTGTACGTACACTGCTGTGTATGTACACTCGTGTGTGTATGCGCACTTGTATGCATGTGCACCCGTGTGTGTATGTATGAGGCAGTGTGTATGCACATTCGTGTATGTTTCTACAGCGCTGTGTATGTCCACTCGTGTGTGGGTGTGTGTACATGGGGGTGTATATGTGTACTCGTGTATGATTATGTACTGGAACAAATGAGTTTTAATATTGTGTCGTACAAAGAATGTAGGGGCAACGTGGTAGGAATGAGACTCCCCGCTCGTGGTGCTAAATGAATGAAAACAGCGCCACTGAGCAGACAGAGCCCCGCCCCTACAGCTCGTGCGTGTGACGTCATGAGTGTGACGTCATGAGTGTGATCAGCGGACAGCCACGATGCTGCCAGGTGAGGGTGAACTTGTGTGATGGAGATGCTTCGCCTGAAACTCGCCTCCACACGTGTTCGCTATGAAGATTGTAGCAATAAGCGACGATCAGTCATCTTTAACCTATCAGGTCTTTATTGTTCTGCAAGTAAATTAACGTTAAAAAGCGTAGAAACACATGCACACTCGTGTGTGAATGCACACCGCTGTATATACAGTCGTGTTTGGATGCACACTCGTGTGTGTATGTCTACTCGTCCGTGTTTTTTAAAGGAAACATGGTAGCAATAACGTACGATCAGTCATCTTTAAAAACAAATCAGGTCTTTATTAATCTGCAAGAAAACTCACGTTAATACTCGTATCGACATCTTTATTAATACGCATGCTCAAACAGGAAGGAACTAGGCAAATTATTTCCCAATAGGAATTCAACAGTTCAAAGATATTCTTAAAATCAAACGCTACCAATTTAAGCAGTAACTTGCCAATTTTTAAAACCTGATACCACATATAGATTCTCAAAGCAAACGGCAATATATATATATATTTGATCTCAAATTGTATAAAGCGGTATGATTAACTTTGAATATCGGCATGCGGTAAAAGGTTAACCAATTGATATCCTACCACTTTAATAGTTTAGCCTGGCAATTATTCAATAATAAAGGATTTTGGTAAACATTCAAACTTTTTTACATTTTTGTAAAATCGCCTGAAGCTGGTTGTAATCACCAGCAAAACATCATACTCAAATTGTAAATGTTGTGGGTTTACTCTCCAACACACTGGTAAGCTTAAGTAGTCACTAATTG